AATCCAACTACCCAGGGTTTTTTTTGCTCAGGTTTACATTTTGCTAGTATTTCCCAAGCCAGGAGCTAGCCCTTTTGTGCTGCAAGTTATGCAGTTTTGTTCTAAGTCCCCATACACAGTATACTTGCTTATGTGTAGTGCATAAATAAGACTGCAGCTAACATGAATAACCAACCTCCACCTCCAACACTGAAGCCCAGCTGTCCTGAGTCACCATCCTGCTCCTTGGAGGAACAGCATGCCTTTGGCTCTATCATTAGTGAACCTTTTCCATATTAACTACATGATTTGAACTATGAGTGCCTGTCATTGTAGCTGGACTAATAATACTCATTAGTTGTATTTTGATAAGATTAAGGCTTTTATTAGACTAACATATTCAAAACACTGCATTTAGGGTGTGTTCTGCTCTGCCCGTTAATAATTTCAGCATAACAAAGCTCCTTTTTTCTACTTCCAAAGCTTATGTCAACACAGCGCCAACGCAATGCAATCGGTAACTTAGACTTCATCCTGATTAACTCTCACATTAAAGGCAGCAGTTATCAGGCACCGTATTTTCCTAGAATCTATGCAACACAAAAACAGCAACACAGTTGAAATGATCCAGTGATGAGCACCGTAACAAGACCCTAAGCAAAATAGTATAAACAGTTTAACTTTACAATTAAACACTGTGTTTGCTGCTTGTTTCTATTTTCCCATCCCCACCTCAGTCAGAGAAAACAAATACTGCAACCACTGTTAATTAAAGATTTCTTTAACAACAAATGTGCCAAATAAGCCACTTTGCACATAGCGGGGCATGAACTCTATTCTTCACATGCAGCAAATTGTGCCACCCAATAAGTAGCATTAAAATGGTAATGTCAGCTCCCTGAGCCCTTAATTGGCTGAATCAGAGAGCCAGGAGCATGCTTGTGCAATCAAGAGACCCCTGTCTGCCTTAAATGCTGAGTTTTAAACAGATGCCTTAAAAAGAAAAAGGGAGGGAGAAGCCAAGGGAAGGGAACATAAAAGGATTTCGCAAATAGGCTAATCTGAGCCTCTGCATGCATAGATGCAGAAAGAAGATATTCTCTGCCAGCGCTACTTTGAAGTCTTTTGACCTGGACAGCATGGATCACAGGTGGCAGCTTACGCAGGCACCCTTATGCGAGGGAAAAAGAAATTCATGGACAAGCCTTCTGTGTTCACATTTTCTAGTTATAGGGTTGGTAACACGCGCTAAGTCTTATGCCAGAACTCTCGAACGCTGCTTTTGTAAATGAAATTTTTCCCATATGACTTCCATGAGGAAAAAAAAAAAAAAGAAGAAACATCTTATCTACACACACTCTAAGTTACAAGGACCTGGCAATTTAGTTTGTGAAGGGTCTCGCATTTCTTCCCTGTATCCCCAAAATAAATACTTTTTACACATTTTCAGACTTTGTGGAAGAAAACCAGATTGTGGTGTCGGATGTGGGAGATAGATTTCTGCTCATCTTTGTGGCTTCTGTCTACTGCCTTCCTCAGTTAGCACAAAAAAGCTTTCACCGAATGCAACCTTCAAAGAATTGCCAAGTTTGATACTGTTCATAAGTGCAGAGCAAGCTTCATGCTTCCTGACCTCTGCTATCCAGCAGTTCCCAACACAGGAAATGCCTCACCGCTTTTCTTCCCCTTCAGAGAAGCCAGAGGACTCAATCCAGAGATCCCTAGCTTCCAGAATAGGTGAAGTACAAGCAAACCCAACTCACCAGGACCCTCCCTCCCAGTAAACAGGGAAGCCTCTGCCCTTTAACCTCGTGTTTTGCTTCCTTCCTTTTACATGAGATTCCTATCTTTTAAATAGGGCTAGAAAGGCTAGCAGGGAAGAAAGCTTCCAAGGGGTGTATCCAGGGACGGGGCTAGGAAGAGGTCCCTGCAGCAGGCAGGAATTAGCCCCAGCCCAACTTTGCAGGGGGCACGAAGGAGTTTTATGGGACACTGAGAGTTCTGTAGAGGGCTCCTGGACTCTTACACCAGAAGCGGGAATCACGGCAGAAATATCCCAGCTAGAATTCCCAAAATATATTTCCCAGGAAATGGAAGAGCAGAAATGCACAAGAGGAAAGGCTGAGTCCCTTCTAAGCAAAGAAGGCAGGTACAGTTTGTGCACTATGCAAACAGCAAAAGGTATTTCGCAGAGGCTGGTGAACCCATGCGGAGTGATTTGTACAGGGTTACAGCATGCGACAAACACTAATCAAAGCACACAACATACAGAAACCCAACACCTCAGTTGTCTAAGCACAGCATGAGGGCAGGCAAACTGCATGGGAGCAGAGTCCTCACCAGATTTGTAGCAAGGACGCCATGTAGGGGGATGCTCACAGGTGCAGGCTGAGTCTCTGCTTCCAGCTGTATTAGAAAACAACGGTCTTGTTCAACATCTTCGTCGCTGACATGGACAGTGGGATTGAGTGCGCCCTCAGCAAGTTTGCCGATGACACCAAGCTGTGTGGTTCGGTTGATACGCTGGAGGGAAGGAATGCCATCCAGAGGGACCTTGACACACTTGTGAGGTGGGCTGATGCCAACCTCATGAAGCTGAACCGTGACAAGTGCAAGGTCCTACACCTGGGTCAGAGCAATCCCAGACACAGCTACAGGTTGGGCAGAGAAGAGATTCAGAGCAGCCTAAGGAGAAGGACTTGGGGGTGCTGGTCAATGAGAAAATGAACATGAGCCGGCTTCAGTGTGCGCTCGCAGCCCAGAAAGCCAACCATATCCTGGGCTGCATCAAGAGAAGTGTGACCAGCAGGTCCAAGGAGGTGATCCTGCCCCTCTACTCTGCTCTCATGAGACCTCACTTGGAGTATTGTGTGCAGTTCTGGTGTCCTCAACATAAAAAGGACATGGATCTGTTGGAACAAGTCCAGAGGAGGCCACGAAAATGATCAGGGGACTGGAGCACCTCCCATATGAAGATAGGCTGAGAAAGTTGGGGTTGTTCAGCCTGGAGAAGAGAAGGCTGCATGGAAACCTCATAGCAGCCTTCCAGTATCTGAAGGGGTCCTATAGGGATGCTGGGAAGGGACTCTTCATTAGGGACTGTAGTGATAAGACAAGGGGTAACGTGTTCAAACTTAAACAGGGGAAGTTTAGATTGGATATAAGGAAGAAGTTCTCTACTGTAAGGGTGATGAGGCACTGGAATGGGTTGCCCAAGGAAGTTGTGAATGCTCCATCCCTGGCAGTGTTCAAGGCCAGGTTGGATGAGGCCTTGGGTGATACAGTTTAGAGCAAGGTGTCCCTGCCCATGGCAGGGGGTTGGTACTAGATGATCTTAAGGTCCTTTCCTACCCTAACTATTCCATGATTTTTATACTATTGTAAAGTGCCTAGAAGCAAAGACAAGTGGCACTCCTAAATGATACCACTGGTTCAGGTCCCCAGGAAGACAGCAGAAATAGTCTGAGTTACGAAACAGTGTCCTAACACAGAAAGCACAGCCTGTTCAACTGTCCCTTGAGCCTTCAGTTAGCGAAGAACTTCAAGTACAGGCAGCAGTCCTAAAACAGCTTTCAAAGACAGCAGTCTACCAGCTATCATCCTCATCTTACTTGCCTTGCTATCTCTAGAAATTCTGTATATCATAGATGAGATTGATGAGCCTGACCTAACTGTAAAAGCCATTGGACATCAATGATGCTGAACCTATGAATATGCAGACTTAAAGACCTTATATCTGACTCATACATATTCCCAACAATAGAATTCCCACTACACCACTTCCTACCTCTAAAGTTGATCACTATGTTGTTACACCAATTGAATTCCCCATCTGTATTACTGTTACTGATGATGACGTATTCCACTCGTGACAAATTCCCACACTAGGAGTAAAAACTCTTGCAAACAATCCCAGGACAACTAGATCAAACATCATTCATCACTACTCAACCACTACAAAGAACCCAATTGGTTAAGAAAGACACATTTCTTAACCCAATATCAGTCACGGGGAAGGGATAGAAAGGAGGACAAAGTCACTGACATGTTGGTCATAATCTTAGTAAGTAAGAAGGAATTCACTAGAAAATTGGAAATCAGCTATTTCTTGAGTGAAGAGATCATGACTTGATTACATTTATTATGCGAAAGGAAAGGATAGTCTACACCCTAATCACACACACAGAGCTTTGAAAGGGCCAATTTCATTAAACTCAAAATGATTATAAGTCAGTGAGGACAAAAAATATAAATAGAAATTATTCTGTTTTCATGTGCCTTTTTTCTTTTCTAAAAAACCCAACACCAGATGCCAAAAGAAACACCATTTCACAAAAGGAAAAAACATCTCTATTTTTGCTTTATAACAGGCTTGCCAGTGTTCCTTAAAGGGAAAGCAACTAAAACAAATATTTTTAATTATCATTTGAAAACTCAAGAGGAAGCTAATGGTAATCAATACATGACAGAATTTGAGAACTGTAGAGTACAGATAAGGGAAGTAAAAGGACCATAAAAGGAAGTCTGTGACCAATGTAATTGAAACAATCTGGGGAGTTATTCTTTTCAAAGACACCACCTACATCTTACTAGCAAATGAATCCATTTAGTAGATTTATCCATATTAGTAAGCCATTACTAGACACAAGTGGTAGAATTGATAATAGAAAAAGGCAATAGTGTTCAACAAACACTCACATCCCACATCTGGGAGAGAGCCAGACGACATACAGCTATCAGGATGAAATTCACAACATCATGACAATTTTGGAATGTAAAAATATCAGCTATGAAAGATTACACCATATTACCCTAACTTCATCTTTTATTAATGCCTATCAACAGGAGCTCAGAGAAACTAGTGTTTAGTTTTCAGGGGACCTTGCCAGCATTATGGCCTGCTTATCGGCAAAGACATCCTTCTTAAACACTTCACTCTGCAGTCCATGATGTCTGATTAAGTAGGACAACACAAAAAAGGAAAATCAGTTTAGGCCATGATAAATGGATTAAAGACATACCTGAGGAAGGGAATCCTCTATGACAGCAGAGCATTCCCACTGCAGCTCCACATTGGCTGTTCCTGGAATATGCTGTGCAGCATTTTGGGGATCTGAGGAAAAGAAAATAAACAAAAATTTGCCAGGACCTCTGGTTTCTAGGTGCCACCATATATAAGAGAGCAATAAATAGGAGAGGTCAGCAAAAATAAGACCCATCTAGATGATTTGGCAAGCTGTGCCAATGCAGCCCCAGGGAGCTGCAGGGGGAGTGTGATGTGTCCTGCAGCACAGGAACATCAGCTTGAGTAAAGAACTGATGCTTCAACCTGGTGCCCCACCAGTCTAAAGCCATCTTCCAGTGCTGTACCTTGGAAGTCTGGGAAAAGAAGAAAGTTAAACAAAAATAATTATTTAGAAATTTGTAAGCATATCTGATGATAAGAAATGGGTTGGACAGGGCCTGGAGCCACCTGCTCTAGTGGAAGGTGTCCCTGCCTGTGGCAGGGGGCTGAAATTGGATGAGCTTTAAGGACCCTTCCAACCCAAACCATTCCACAATTCTATGAAAAGAAGTTTCTTTCCCTATATTTCGTAGAGGAAGGTTCAAGGAAAAGTAACAACCTGAAGTCACAAAACAAGTAACAGAAGTTGGACATTCAGGAATGACTCAGTCTCACAGAGTATATTCTCCAGTGGTGGAGTCAATTCACAGGTAGATACAGAGATATAGATATAATGCAACCACTTACAAGACTGAAAAACCTGCCACAGAACAGCCATTACAGCTAACAAACAGCTCATGGGGAAGCCATATAGCACACCAAAGATCCAGGTTCACATCCTTGCACCATCTCATTTAGAGCAGATCAGTATGATTCTCCAATGCCAAGATGAGTGTCCAACACAAATGTTGTGCAAGAAGCAACGTTTCTTTTTTGACCAACAGCTCCCATCCTGGGGATGGAAAGCTTTCCTTTCAGTGCTGATGCATGCATGCGTCCCTCTGGAAAGAGTAAAGATTTTAGCTAAAATATTACATTTGTTCCAATCTCAAAAGAAAGCCCAGTTGCCTTTGCTGTAATTAGCCCCCGTGTCTCATCCTACCTCTCTGTAACAAGGCTGCAGATGGCACATGGCTTTGCAGCAGTGAAACACTCCTTCACAATTAAATCACAGAGTCACGGGCTGGTTTGTGTTGAAAGGGACCTTACAGCTCACCCAGTTCCAACCCCCTGCCACAGGCAGAGACACCTTCCACTAAAGCAGGTTGCTCCAAGTCCCGTCCAACCAGGGCTTGAACACTGCCAGGGATGTGGCAATCCTATGACACATTCTTAATCTAGCAGAGCTTAATAGGCAGCACTACAGTCATGGTACAGCTATTGTCCTTGCACTAGCTCTGCACCCTAGGATCAAGAACAGAAAGTAACTTCAGTGCCTATGATTTTAGTGCCTCACAGCTATACTGTAACAATGCTCAGATGAGAAGGTCTGTCTGGCCATTTCAGTGCAATAGAGGCAGCCTGCACCTAAACTTCTATAACCTTCGAAATTTCCCTCTGGATTACAGGAAAAGATCTACAGCTTACTGCATAGCACTGGTGACAGGAGATCCTAGCCTAAAGCTTGCATGTAACACTGGAATGAGTACCGTCTGATTACTCAAACTGGCAAGGCTAGCCCAGTCCAACCCAGATCACTGCACTGCAATTAATTAATCTGAATAGGAATGGTAAAACATGTCTGAACACAGAAACAGTGATTTCACCACAAGAACAAGCCTCAATACCAGCACAAACTGCAGCTGAACTGCAACTGCAGGCGTGAAGCCAGAGCAAGCGGCAGCATCCGCAGCCCAGCTACTGCGGCTGGTTACTGATGGCTGCCTCCTCCAGCACAGACAGAGCCCCGATACCCCTTCACCCGACATGTCATTATCAGCTGCACGTTCAAGTGAAGAAGAACGAGGTGCCAGGGATGGCAAACAAATGGGCTGTGACAGAGTTACAGACATGACACAGAATGCAGAGTGCAAAATCAGATTTCCCCCAACCGCTGCAGAGCCACGCTGAGATTCTTGCTCTGGTGATTTATACCTTAATTTTGGCCGATAATGCCTGCATTTGTCTCTATACCAGTTATTAGCTTCCTCAAGGAAAGCAAAAATCAGAATGCTTTTGAAAGCTCCGAGAGAAACACTGCTCTTCCTTCCCCACCTAGCAGGCATATTTATGGCATAATCCAAAGGAATAATTACTCCAAATGGTAGACCATCTCTCCAAGCGATCAGCATGACCGCGTGAAGTTACAATCGATGCTGAAAATGTATGTCCCCGTATTTACCACAGGACAGTCCATCTAACTTGGAGAACCTCCCCCCACCCCTTCCCACCTCATTTCAAAGTTAGAGCTGGTTTTACATTGGAAATCAGATGGCATAACCACACACCAGGGCCTTCTCCCACGAAAGAAATACCTTTTACAATTATTAACAGTAGAAGCACTGCACTAAAATCAAATGAAGTCTACAGAAATACAAACAAAGGTAAGAAAATATTTACAATAACAGGAAAATCTTTTGAAATCAGTAATTGGTGTTTTTGTTTCTCTGCACATACACAGAAAATACTGTGCATTGGAAGCTCAATTACAATTCCCTTCCTTTATTTGCACACCATTAGCATTTCTCAACATTGGAGGTTCCCAGTGAACTTGGGTTGTCTGTCCCAATTACAGAAATCCCCACAGAATTCTCACTTTCAAAGCAGTTGTATAAAATATTAATTACTCATATTTGGAGTAAATGAACATAAGCTAACAAATTTACAAATCCAATTATCACAAGCTATCAGATGACTTTTTATTTAATTGTTATGGATTGCCCTTTAGACATCATAATGAAATTAATAGAACATGCTGGTGATCAATAGTTACTGATTAATCAATTCGGAGCAGCTCTTACGAAGATTCTTTAACCCCCAGACGTCACTATTTATTACCTCATAATGCAAGTGCAGGCATACACGGGGCAAATAGATACAGGACGTATTTAGGAGTGAAGCAAAGGTATCCAGCTGTTACACAAAGTTCAAGGTGTGCCAACATGAGATTCTGCATATATATAGGGTATCTCACCCTTGAAGGTTAATTATTATGCTCCTCATTAATATATGATCAAGGTCTTCTCATGAGTGGGATAAACAGTCATCCTTCATGGGTGACCTGTTTCTATTTATTCAGCAAGGAATATTTAAAACATTGAACTTCATCGCAGTGTATCTGTTTGGTACCTCCCGGCGCGTATGGAAAACTTGCGCTATTTAAGTATTTTCACATGTGCACAGACTTCCCAGGAATCTGCATGATACAAAATTCGGAAAACAGTGGGAGTAACTCAATTGATGCCAACAGAATGTAGCTTTTTTGTGCTAACAGTAGCTTCCCTGTCTAAAACACTTCTGACCCTCATTACAACACAAACTTGTGTCTGTTCCATTGTAAAGGAGGTCTCCCTCCTTCTGCATGCAGCAGTTCAGGAGATACATTCTAAGAGAAAAGTTAGAAAAGCCCATGTGACCCAAAAGCCCAGACCTTTAGAATCATTGAACTTTGGAAAAGACCTCTGAGATCAAGTCCAACCATTAATCCAGCTCTGCCAAGGCCACCACTGCACCATATCCACAAGTGCCACATCTATGTCTTTTAAACGCCTCCAGGGATGGTGACTCCAGCCCTGCCCTGGGCAGCCTGTTCCAATGCCTGAGCACCCTCTGGGGCAGGAATTGTTCCTCAGCTCCATCTAAACCTGCCCTGGTGCAGCTTGAGCCCGTTTCCTCTTGTCCCATCCCTTGTTCCTTGGGAGCAGAGCCCAGCCCCTCCTGGCTCCATCCTCCTCTCAGGCAGTTGTAGGCAGTGATCAGGTCCCCCCTGAGCCTTCTCCAGACTGAACTCCCCAGGTCCCTCAGCTCTTCCCCATCACACTTGTACTCCAGGCCCTGCACCAGCTCCGTTGCCCTTCTCTGGCCCTGCTCCAGCACCTCAATGTCTCTCTTGAAGTGAGGGGTCCAGAGCTGAACACAGGATTCAAGGTGCAACTCCACCAGTGCCCAGTGTAGGGGCACAACCACTGCCCTGGCCCTGCTGCCACACTGTTGCTGATACAGGCCAGGATGCCATTGGCCTTTTTGGCTGCCTGGGCACAAGCTGTCTCATTTTCAACGACCTACAGATCAATAACCCCACATCCTTTTCTGCCCGGCACCTTTCCAGCCAGTCTTCCCCAAGCCTGGAGCGCTGCATGGGGTTGTTGTAACCAAGTGCAAGACCCAGCACTTTGCCTTGTTGAACCTCGCACAATTGGCCTCAGCCCATCAATCCAGCCTTTACTTACAGACAACTTTGGCAGTAAAGACCTCTTATGTCATCTGCGGCTTCCGCCCAATTTCCTATCCAGCCATGCTCCCAGAATCCCCATAGTTACTCCACTTGGCAGGCAGACAGCCCCATTTTTCAGCACCTGCATCTCAGGGCAGACCTCCAGGCAGACAGCTCTCATATCAGCAACTCCAGGGCTGCTCTCCAAGTAACTCCTTATTATGAATTAGTTTGAAGCTAAATGCAAAAGTAGGCTTTTTTGTTCTAATGTATGAGTGCCATCCAAGAATAGAAATAGGTCTCTCTTCCTGTACCCTACCACTCTAGCAAGACTGTGCTCACATCAGGGTGGTGGGAGAAGCAGCAAGTACCCACAGGGGCAGCAGTCCCCATGCCCACAAATCCATGTCTGAGTCAAGGCCAGCTACCAAAATCACAGGAGGGAGGTCACCCCTGTGCAGGAGATGGGGATGACATTAAGCAATTTGATTCATCCTGCAATTTCCTGCCCACACATGACCTTCTAGAGAGCTCAGCCGTAATGCTCACCAACAGAGAGACTTCACTGCTCTGTGTATACAGTAAAAAGCTAGAAGCACTAAAGCTTACCCAAAACCATCAGGCTGGTAGCTAGGTCTTGTGAACAGTTATGGTATACAGACTCATTCTGGTTTAAAGCTTTCCCTTTAACTATCACGGGATCTCTCCAC